CTCCATTATTGCATGCTTGGGGGGCTTTTAATATTTGTAAAATTTGGGATATTGAATTGATGTACAATTTCCTTTGAATTACTTATCCCCTTTCCCAGGAATACTTCTAAGCTGTCCTCTAAATTCCTGAAAGTAGTTCCCCTTTCATTTTTAGGGATATATGCTTATCTGGACTACTTGAAAGTCTTCCTTATGTGCTGAAGGTTGTAGCTCAAAATAAAGATGCCAGAGATCTCCTTACCAGGCTCTGATTTCATTAGGGTATCTGCCCCTGTACTTACTCAGGAAAAAGATAATCACAACAAAGTAAAAGTAAAGAAGTAAACATGATTTGGTGTGCTAGAGAAGTTAGCAGCAGATGAGATTATAAACCTCTTCTTACTATACACTCAGTTATGTAGCATAAAAGATTGAGGCTCTATATGCTATGCCCCTCTAGAAAAGGATTCAGAAATGAATTTAGATTGGCTCGATGTTTCTGCCCAACATAGGGTGTACATTTATGGACAAAGAATGATGTGAATAAATGTTTAAAAAATGAAGTAGTAAGATCTCTCTTCTTAGAAAAGTTAGTTTGTACAGGACCATTGTGGTATCATATGACCAAAGAATGAAAGAATACTAAGATTAGACATATAAATAAATCATTGGCCTGAAGATGTTTCTTGAACCTAGTGATAATTGGCACTGTGACAATTAAGAGTTAGTAATATACTGCTCAGGACATGACTGTCTGTTCAGACTGGCTTGGAGATTTTCTTTCTGTCTTATGCACTTGAAACTATAAGATTCTTAAATATTGGGTTATGGGATTGGTGAGAGAAAAAAGTTGTAAAAGATAATATTGTTCAGTGACTGTTTATCAATGATGATTAAACTTATAACCAAGAACAAGTTAAAACACCAGCCCATGGGGAAAAAATGACATGATCTATGTTTTAGAACAACATGAATCAATTCTGCCTACTGATTTCTGTATAAAAAAAAAAAAGCACTCTGACTATCAGTAAACAGGCTGCAAGATTTTCCACAGACCAATGTGCCTGACTCAATCCTCCTCTGACTCCTTATATCCTCTACTATGGGATCTGGCCATCTCTGGATCTGTTCTCCAGGGAATTGGAGTTCATTGGTAGGGCAGATGTTGGGGTGGACTAATTCAAACCCCTGGACCTGGGTGTAAGAAGTATCTGAGCTGATCAGCCTTCTGGCTCTCCCACTCTCAAGCCCCGTGGGATGGCTCACCAGCAACCCTTGCAACCAGGCTCAGCTCTACCCTGCCTCCAGGTAAGATTAAGGGCTCACTCTCTTGAGTGTTGTATCTGGTGAGAAACATGGCCAGTTCTCTTACTCTCATGATCCTAGGGCCAGCTCACCCACCTGATGGCAAGGAATGAGTGAGAGGAGAGGGCATTTCTTCCTCATCCATCCAGCAGACAAGAGGCAGGGCCATCTCACCTGTAACTCAGTCATCCAGGACCAGCAGGCCAGGTACAGGGCCTGCTCTCCCATGTGCTGCAACAGATGAGGCTCAGGACAGCTCTTCTGCTCTCATGACCTCAGGGCCATCTCTCCTTCTTGTTGTAGGCAGCAAAGGATAAAGGTGGGGGAGATATTCCATGACAAAACCAAATTTGCACAATATTTTCCCACAAACCCAGCACTTCAAAAAATAATTGATGGAAAACACCAACACAAGGAGGGAAACTACAACCAAGATAAAGCAAGGAAGTAATCTTCCAACAACCCCAAAAGAAGATAGCTATACAAACATAATTCTACCTCTAATAACAAAAATAACAGGAAGTCACAATCATTTTTCCTTAATATCTCTTAACATCAATGGACTAAATTCCCCAATAAAAAGACGCGGACTATCAGACTGAATACACAAACAAGACCCAGAATTTTGCTGTATACAAGAAATGTACCTCAGTGACAAAGACAGACACTACCTCAGAATAAAAGGATGGAAAACAATTTTCCAAGCCAATGGTCCCAAGAAACAAGCTGGAGTAGCCATTCTAATATCAAATAAAATTGACTTTCATCCAAAATTAATCAAAAAAGATAAGGAAGGACTCTTCATACTCATCAAAGGAAAAATCTACCAAGGTGAACTCTCAATTCTGAACATCTATGCTCCAAATGCAAGGGCACCTACATACATAAAAGAAACTTTACTAAAGCTCAAAACACACATTACACCTCACACAATAATAGTGGGGGATTTCAACACCCCACTGTCAGCAATGGACAGATCATGGAAAAAGAAACTAAACAGAGACACTTTGACATTAACAGAAGTTATGAACCAAATGGGCTTAACAGACATCTATAGAACATTTAATCCTAAAACAAAAGAATATTCCTTTTTCTCAGAACCTCATGGTACCTTCTCCAAAATAGACCATATAATTGGACACAAAACAGGCCTCTACAGATACAAAAAGATTGAAATAATCCCTTGCATCTTATCAGATCACCATGTACTAAGACTGGTCTTTAATAATGACAAAACCAATGGAAAACCCACGTGGACATGGAAACTGAACAACTCTCTACTCAATGATGACTTGGTCAAGGAAGAAATAAAGAAAGAAATTAAAGACGTTTTAGAATTCAATGAAAATGAGGACACATCATACCAAAACTTGTGGAATGGCTAGGATTAAAAACTCAGGTGATAGGAGATGCTGGCGAGGGTGTGGAGAAAGAGGAACACTCCTCCATTGTTGGTGGGACTGCAAGATGGTGCAACCACTTTGGAAATCAGTCTGGCAGTTAGGCAGAAAATTGGGCATAGCATTACCTGATGATCCAGCTATACCACTCCTAGGCATATACCCAGAAGATGCTCAAACATATAACAAAGACATATGCTCAACTATGTTCATAGCAGCCTTATTTATAATAGCTAGGAGCTGGAAAGAACCCTGATGTCCTTCAACTGAGGAATGGATTAAAAAAATGTGATATATTTACACAATAGAGTATTACTCAGCTATTAAAAACAATGAATTCGAGAATTTCCTAGGTAAATGGATGGAACTAGAAATTATCATCCTGAGTGAGGTAAGCCAATCACAAAAGAACACACATGGTATTCACTCACTGATTATTGGATATTAGCCCAGAACCTTGAAACCCCAAAGATGTAACTCACAGGCCACATGAAGCTCATGAAGAAGGAAGACCAAGTGGGGGTGATTCGGTCCTTCTTAGAAGGAGCAACAAAATACTCAAGGGAGCAAATATGGAGACAAAGTGAGGGACAGTGAAGGAGGGGCCGTCTGAAGACCATTCCACCTGAGTATCCATCCCATGTGCAGTCACCATAGGTAGATGCTGATCTGGAAGTCAGGAAGTGCATGCTGCTAAGAGCCTGATATGGATGTCTCCTCAGAGGTCTTCAAGAGTCTGACATATTCAGAGGCAGATGCTCACAACTAGCCATTGAACTGATAATGGGGTTCTCAATGGAGGAGTTAGAGTGAAGGCCATTGGAGCTGAAAGGGTTTGTGGCCCCATGAGGAGAGCAAAAATACCAACCAACCACAGCTCGCAGGGTCTAAACAACCAGCCTGGGAGCACTTAGGGAGGGACACATGGCTTCAGCTGTATATGTAAGAGCGGAGGGCCCTGCTGGGCATAAGTGGGAGAAGAGATCCTTGGCCTCATGAAGGCTGGACGCCCCAGGGGGTGGGAATTTGAGGGTGGGGAGGTGGGAGTGGGGGGCAATGTAGGGGTACATCCACAGAGAAGCAGGAGGAGGGGTGAAGGGATAGGGGGTTCCTGGGTGGGTGGGGGATGGGGTAAGGGAAAAACATATGAAATGTAAATAAAACATCCAATAAAAAGAAAGAAAAGAAAAGATAACAAAAAGAAAAAAAAAGAAAGGTGGGAGAGAACATTTTTCCCTCACCCATGCTGCCACAAGTCCAACAAGTGTTGGGGCTAACTCTCACACATTTATACCTGCACTGTCAGCTAACCCATGTCTTCACCATCAGAATCAGCTCTACTATGCTGCCCAGGTGAGGTGCGGGGCCTGCTCTCCCAAGCACTGCAGCTAATGAGAAGCAGGCCCAATTCTCCTGCTCTCATGACCCCAGGACCAAGTCTGCTACCTGCTTCAAGTAGTGAGGGACAAGGTGGGGAGGAGAGTATCTCTCCTTCATATATGCCAGGGAATGGGAGGCAAGTGGTAGTGTCAGTAATCTCATGCTTGTATCCTCAAGGATGGCTCACCCTCAACTCTAGCAATGTGCAGGGCAAGCTTTCCTTGAGTACTCTGGTTAGCTAAGGTCTTATCAGCTCTCTTGTTGTCATGTCCCCCAGCGCCAGTTCTCCAATGATGCCCAGGTGAGGATGGGACCAGTTCTTCACAATTCTCAGATAACATTTTCCCAGGCAGCAGACCAGAACAAAGATCCCCACCTGGGCTAACAGACCTCTGCTACTACAGGGATATACACTCAGCCATACCACATCCCCCAGTGACAGCATAGTCTAGAGTCTCACTATGGTCCAAGGTAGTATCACCAGCTACTCAAGCCAGGCTGTTCCTCACTACCTGGATGTCTCCAGTTCTACAGCTCTTCAGTGTGGCCACATCCATCTTTTTCTCTATCTTTTCCATTTCTCCCCCACTTACTTGTTCTGGAGTCATCTCAGGGCTGGTCTCAGGACTGCTATGCTGCATATATTGAGGAACCTGGCAGGGGTCATCTTGGGCATGGTATGCCCTCCCAAGGCCTACCTACATGTAATAGGACTTGTGCTCATCTCAGTCTAGCTCCCTGTTCTGTCCCTATGGAGCCTGTCTGGTTGTTATCTTGTCTGGTCCACCCCAGTGGTCCTTTTAGAGAGTCATCTGTCTGAGGCTCACTCCTACCTGTGGTCCCATGTGGGTTTCTTCTAGTCTTCTAATCTTCGCAGCCCATCTGGGCCTGCCTCGCACCAGACTGGAGGTCCATTTAGGCTTGCTTTGTTTGGGGAATGTTAGGCTACTATTCATTTAGATAGTCATAGTTCACAACACTGAACATAGATAGACAAACCCTCTCTCCTCTCTGCCATCTACTGATGCACATGGGACATGGTAGCTGCACTGTAATGCCTCTAGTGGACAGGTTGATATTTTTTTATATGTACGTGGAACAACAATGGCTAGAGAAGATGATGTCCTGACGTGGAGGGGCAAAATGGAGGAGAGAAAGGGGAAAGATGTCATAATTATTTTTAAATCAATTGTTAAAAAAATAATTCAGCAATTAAGTTCACATTCTGAAATTATAAAATAATCACATCCCTTCCCTTATCTTTCCTCCGTCCAAACCTTCCCATATACCTCTAACCAAGCTCCTTCTACCTAATACCTTCTTTTAATATCTCTAGAGTTGGACCACATCTAGGCCACAGTCAGTATTCAACATACTTTTAAGGACAAATGATTAAACTAATAGAAGTAGACACATAAAAGAAGTTTTTAACATTGTCAAAATATCAATGTGAGTCACCCTTGGATTCATACTTCCAAGGCATTTTTCACTTAAAACTTGCTCCACTGTTTCCTTTTTTTTTCTGGGAATATGTAGTGGATCTTGTCCAAACTTGAATTTTATACATAGTTTCTTTGTTGTACACAGAAAGCATGTGAGAAATTATTAACAGCCCACATTTCATCCTAATTCATAGTCTTAGAATTATAAGTTACAGCCAAGATGGCTCATTTTCTATTTCCATAAGCATTGTAGAGAGACTTTTAATCTCTAAAAAAACAGAGTATGGGTGGAATACTTTTAAATATTTAAAATGGTTTCTGCTTTTCCTACCAGAATGAAGCTAAAAAAAAGTTTAAAACAAAGGGGAATGAACAAATGGTTATCAAATAATAAACTATATACCCAATTTCAACTTTTAAACATTGTTTAGAAAGCAAAATAGAAGCATTAGTAATGAAATCTGACTATACTGAAAAGACACAGCTAAGGGAAATACAAGTTTCCAGTAGTTTAGAACAAATGAGAAAACAAAACCACCTCAGGGTACAAAACACATTTGAAATAACCAAAGCTGGGGTGAGGAGCAATGAGCATCGAAAAAGGATGTCGATCCTGACTGGGGCTATATGATGACTATAAGTGAAATAGCACAGCTTCCCTTGTTCACTGACAAGCATACACAAAACACTCAATGACAGCAAACTCAGAAAAAATTCCTTAGTGCGTTCATACTTTCAGTATAAAATACCAGGATGAAAAATATTCAGGCAGTAAAAATCAACATTAAATCTAAAGTAGCATAACCAGTATAACATAAACAATGTTCTAAGTAAATATGAAGGCAAAAAACTCTTAATCCCTGTTCTTTAGATATCTTAGTGCACTCAGTTCCTAAATTGTGTAAAGCAGGAGGAAGAAATACAAATAGATAAGAGAAAAGAACTTCAAGTTTTAAATCATAAATACCATTCACCAAATTGATATGAAATACTTGAATAATAACTATATCTACATGTATATTTTATTTGTATTTTAAAGAATTTGATTACAAATGTGTGCCATTTACAAAAAAACTACAGTTTCTGTCAAGAAGTAAGATACCTATTTGTGTAAATGGGTATTCAACCAAGTAGAACAAATAATTCTGAAATGATAGATGTGAGATTCTGGAGAGTGGATAATGAAATCAAAAGTAATCAGCCAGTAATGTGACACAACCACACTTAATAGATTTATTTTTATTAATAACATTATCTCATTGAAAGAAGTGAGTATGAATAGAATTTAATAGATGTTTTCTATGAAGGTTCTAAGTAATGGTTTTGACATAATGTCCCCTGATAGCTGACTTCCAAAATTAATACAAATTGGTTTGGATATGAAGACAATCCTGTAGATAGGAGACTGATTTTTTGATTGAGCAAAAGTTAACTGCAAATTAATATTAATGTAGCTTATTGGATGAGGCTCCAATCAGCTCACATAGCTGTGAATTTCTGCATTGGGAGATGGTGAGTTTAATGATAAACATAGCATTTAGTTGAGTACTTACTCACTGGTAAAAAATGAGTTTTAATTATATGTTCTAATTATATTAAAATGACAGAGTAGTGAAAATGACAGAGACACTGTTCTGAGCTTTATGCAAAGCAATATTCTACATGTTTGTGTATGACAGGGGAGTCGGAGGGTAGGAGGATAGGGGAAGGTATCTTGACAAATATTGCTGAGTTATAATCTCAGTAGTTGACTATTAATAGTTAAATGTATGTGTTTTGACCTAAAGCAATCATTTTCCTTGTCTGAATAAAGAAACTATAAAAGATTAGCTGGATATGAAGATTTATGGTTGCTTTTAATATATTTTCTCATTATATATTGTATGAATTCAAATAAAATTTTCTTTTTCAAGCACTGGATATAGCAAAAACAAATATGAAAATATAGTTTGATCAGTTTTTATTATGTCTGAGTTTGTGTGTATTTCTATTCTAAGCACCTTGAATAGTGGTTAATGAAACAGACTAAACTCTGCCCTGAAGAAACTGGTCTTCTAGCAAATTGACTTCACTTCTTTTACTTCCTTCATGCTGCTATAGAATGTTTTTGTAACAAGCTGGAAAACAGGTGATTAAAAGTAGCGTTTGCTTAGTAAGTAACCACGCCTCTGTTTTAGGTATTATGGAGTGCAGATAAGAAAATCACCTACAGCACCTGATGAAAAAAAATATGTATTAAAATTGGTAGCTGAGGACAAAATTTTAGAAAGAGGAAGTGCATTTAAAAAAAACCATAGAGGACTAAAAAAATACGACATGTTGAAAGTGAGGAACAAGATTTCATTTGTAATGAAAGTCAGATATCATGATATTATAAGTCAATAAATCATGATGAAAGGAAAGATATAGCAAGATGTACAGGAGAGAAATGCTAGTACTTGTACTAAGATCAGATTAAGGAAGAGGAAAATAATTTCAGGTACAGGGATATACTAAAATGCACAGCAAAGGTCCATTCAAAAGATGAAAAACCTGTAGTGTCCATGATGAGAACTAGCAGTCACATGCATTGTACCAATTGAAGTGAACTTAAAGTAAATCTACAACTCCATAGTTTTGACCATATTAATGAACCATACTTTAAGTACTATGAATTAGAGACATAGAAGAGCTCTGTCAGTCTATGCATTCTCTAGTAGCCCAAGATTCTTAGATTTGGTCAAGACAGCTTCCCTCAGGATACTCAAGTTTACATGGCAACAAGACAATTCTTAAGTAAGCTTTACAGTAACAACAAGAACAACAAAATCAAACAAAACAAAAACTATCAAATTAAACTTAGCAGTTATCATGGGTATAAAAATTCAAGACTGAGCAGAGAGAGAAAAACCAAACACTTATATTTTGAGTGAGATTATTTTTTAAATCCCTGAATTGAAAAGACAAATAACTTCTCATAGAAGCAAATATGAAATTTCATGTTACCCATAATACATGAACTGCTTATCAATAAACTAAAAAGCATAAACATTCCCTAACTCCTGCCAGCTGTAGATTCCCTGGTACAAACTGCTTGTACAGGGACAGTTCTAATTTCTTTGTGTGGTAAAATCAAGATGGGTTGGGTAACTAAACATATGACTAAATGTTTAGTGGTAGTATTTTTAGAAGTTCTGAAACTTATTTACAAACATAGCATACATATTTCTGCCCAACTAAAAGAAAGAAATAAAAGAAGGAAGGAAGGAAGGAAGGAAGGAAGGAAGGAAGGAAGGAAGGAAGGAATAAGGAAGACAATGTATAAAGAAAATCAAAGGGAGTTCCAAGTATAACTATAATTTCCACCATCCTGACACACCATAGTCTGTATTTTCTATTTAGTAATTATTTGAAAGCAAAGTAAATAGTATTAGTATAGAATGATTTTTTAATTATACAAAGGAAAAGCAAAAAATGAATAAAGATAAGGGAATGCCTTTTGTGATATGAGAAGCAGAATCCACGTCAGATTTTGCATTTGGATGCAAATAGTAATACCTAGTAAAGATAGCCATTTAAAAGTAAAGTTAAAAGTTGATAATATTCCTTTAATTCTCAGACTTACAGTTAGCAGGTAATTGTCTCCAGCTGCTTCTCACTACACTCTCCACAGGCTTTGCTAACCTCTGTCAGCCCATCTGAGTTCCTCAAGGTCAAGTAATACTTCTGCATCTCCATATCTATCTTTCAAACCCAGAATCTGCTGCCATCAAAGACATGCACTCCAGGCCCAGCTGCATAACAGTGGTTCCCAGCAGGGACAGTGGGCATTTTGGCTAGCTCTATCTAGACAGCTGCATGGTGGCTTGCATTTCCTCAGCAGACCAGGTCTGTCACACAGACTCAATGTCTGAGGACTTCTGGAATCCAATGTCACAGGATGATTATTATTTGGCATGATTCCAAAGGAGTTTCACACAAAGTCAAAACATTAATTTTATATTAGCATAAGAAGTTATGTATATGTATACATATATATGTGTACACATGTATGCTATACACATATACACATGTGGCTCAATTGATTGACTCTTTGATATTTCTGTGTGCCACGGTTAATATATTAAGTATAAGTCATGATCCACTATTTTTAGAATATTCCAGTCAAATCAAGAAAGTCAGGCATCTTAACTTAGGTAATTGTTTGACATCATTTATCTTGTTTCTAATTGAGAGTATAAATTAATCATAAATCTAGCAAAATTATGAATCCATTTTCTTCAAGGAAGTCTGTCAGTTTTATAAACATGTAAATGATTAAAATCTTGATTTTCCTATATTCACTCACAAGCATGAATAGACTTTTTTTCTTATTTATGTATAAACCAGATATCTGAAGTGCTGGTTTTTTTTTATTGGTTTTGGATTCATTTAGATGCTATATTTGATAAGACATCTGTCACAGAAGTAACACAAAAACTCTGCACACCCCTTTATTATTTATTCTAAGTTCTATGAGGCCCAAAATAGCGTCTTAACAGAAGAAACTCTTCTTACGGTGTATAATTTCTAAATTACTTATGAGGATACACAGGCACGCTGACATAGAGGAATTGAGTTAAGTAGGATATCGTAAATAAGACATAACCAT